AGTAACATCTTATATAGTGGCCTATAACTAGGTTATTTACTAGGCTTAAAAGTTATCTAGTAATTATATAAATGTTATATTAAAAGCTTATTAGACTTGTTTTAGAAAAAAACATATAATAAGTTGTAGTAGTTTTAAGGGACTATTATTCTAGAGTTAGTGTGTTTTTAGGGAGCTAAAGCTTAGTCTATATTAGAAATTATAACTGCGTAGATTTTATAATCTAGTTATTAAGCTAGAGTTATAAATAAAGCAGGTTCTATATAGTAGATGTCTATCTGCTGTTTAAGTCTTAGTTTATGTTTAAATTAAGTAGGTAAAAGTTTCTTAAAAGCTTTTTTTTTTTTAAGTTTAAGTAGTTATTAAATTATTTTATATAGCTTATTTTAGTAAAAGGCCTAGCTTGTTAGCCTTACTTAGGTAGTTTTTTTCTAGGTTATTAAGAAGTAGGTTTAAAGACCTTTTATATTAAGTGCTATTTAGGTGTTATTTAGGTGTAAGTGTAAGCATTTATTTTAGCATTAAAAAGAGTTAAAGTTTAGAACTTACTCTTAGTAATTAAAGGCAACTTTATGCTAATACAGCTATAGTTATTCTAGAATTAGGTTATAACATTTTATGTTTATTACATAGAGCTTAATCTGCTCCTTATAGTGTTAGTAGGTAATTATAATAGTTATAGTATAAAAAATAAAACCTTTTTTAAGTTATTTTTTATTAAATCTAGTTAAGTAAATTATTTAGGTAAGTAGTGTTAATTAAAGATTTAGTTTACACGCTAGTTTTTTATTAATGTAACCTATGCTGTTTACTTTTAAGTTAATAAGAGCTTATATTAGGGCTAATATAGTTTCTTATTATAAATATATAGAAATATTAACTTAGTACTTCTAGTTATTAGTAGGGGACTTAGCCTATAAGTTAGCAGAGATCTAGTGTTAAATTAGTCCTAAAGGGCAACTTAGCCCTAGAACAAGCCTTTTTACAGGCTTCTACTGCTATAGCTGCAGCTACATTAAGAGTAGTAAAAAGAATTAAGGCTTAAATATAAGTTAAAGCCCTTATAAAAATAAGATTAAAATAGTAAAGATCTTTAATAAGTGCTAGTAGCACTACTTATGTAGACTTAAAAAAGAGGAATAAAGTAGTTTTAAAAGATATAACTATGCTTACTGCACTTAAAGCATTAACTTTTTTTTTTATAATTTTTACACTTTTTAGAACTAACTAAAGCATAATTTAAATTAATTTTTATTATGTTAAAGTTCTTATTTGCAACTGCGCTAGTTTAGGGGCGTATTAGGGCTTGTACAGGGAGGAACCTTATGTTATTATTGTAGGTAGCAATTAGGTTTACATACATATTAAGGTTGTTTAGAAGGGGTTCTTTTACTATAGCGCGTTACAGTTTAGTTAAGAGGGAGTTATATAAAGCTATAATTAGACTTATCTTATTTAGGCCTATATTAAATGCAAGTTAGTAGAACTTAGTAAAGTGTAAAGTAAAGCTTTTTTTTTTTTATTATAAAGTGTTTAGGTAACTTAGAGCTGTTAACTTTTTATTTAGGTCTTTATAAGTTACTTATAAAAACACTATAAATTAATTTAGGTTAATAATATTCTTATTTATTAGTAAGTTAATTAAGGCTATTATATTATAGTTAAGTTAAAAGTAGGCATATAGTAACTAAAAGTGTTTAAAGGGGAATTAGTCTACATTTCCTTTAAGTTTATATTAAAGCTTGTGTAAAAAGAAAAGTAGGTCTTTTTGTTTTCTATTAAATAGTAAGGGATTAGAGAGTTAGTTAGATTTTATTACTAAGTTAGAAAAGTTACAGGTTGTAGGCAGTGTTAAGTAGAAAAGAGTTAAGCTATCTCTAGACTTCTAAGTAAGCTTTAAGGCTAGTAAGTTCTTAGTTTCTACTACTATAATAAAAGTTAAGGTAGAAATAGACTACTTAATAATGTAAAGCTATTTTTTAAAGTCTTTTTAAAAAGCTTTAAAGCTTATAATGTAGTAGCTTTCTTATAAAGTAAGCGCTTTTTAGAAAGCTTTTTAGCTTACTTTAATAGCTTAGAGTTATACAAGTACTAAGCTTATTAAATTAGATTTAGAAGCTATTTTTAGCTAAAGTTTTAACATAATGTAATGTTATAATTATGCACAAGTAAGGTTATAAAGCTTTATAGAGGTCTAGTTTAATTACTATGTAAGGTATTATAGTAGGTATAAGACATTATGTAAGGAATAAAAAAGTTTAAAAGGAAATTAGTAATTAAATACTTAGCTTAAAAGTTTAAGCGCTTTAGGTATAAATTAAGCCTGTTTTAGGTTTAGTTAGTGTTAAGGCAGTTTATGCTTAAGTTTATGTCTATGTTGTGTTGTGTTTGTGTTAGACGTGCACTAATAATACTCTAGTACGCGTCTAATACAGTTATGTCTGGGATCTAGGGAGGATACCGTAACACAGCGCATCTAATATAAGTCTTATTTAACTATAAGATCTTATAGTACTTTATAGCTATAAAATAACTTAGCTACTAATAAGCCTATTAGTCTAAATACTTATTTTATTTTAATTTTAAGATTACTTATTATCTTAGTTAAGATAAAGAGAAACTAGATGCCTTTATAAGGTAATCTTAAAATATCTTTACTTAAAAAAAAGTGTAAAAGGCTTAACACTAAACTTTACTTTAACTTAAGCTATTTTTAGACCTTAACCTAAACAAAATAAATTAAATAATTAATTAAATTATTACTAATAAGTATTTAAATAATAAATTTATCTAAAAAACTTTAGACCTACTTTAAAATAGCACTAGTTAGTTAAAGAAGGTAATACTAGCTAACTATAAAAACTAAAATAGTAAGCTGTATTACTATAACTAACTTATAATCTTTAATTCTAATAAACTAAAAATTAAACTACTCTAAATTATACACAACTTACCTGTTAGAAGACACCTAGGCAGAGAAAAGACTCTTAACCTACTACAGAGAGAGTACTACTAGCCCTGCATGTTCTATACTGTACGCTAATATGTATTATGTTGCTATACTTACTATAAAGTAAAGGCCTTTTAAAAAAGGTATAATAGCCTACTTAAACTACTTCTAATCTTTAAATAAGCTTAGAAAGATATATTAATTAATTTTATTATAAACCTACCCCTATTTAAAGAGTACATAAATATTATAGTAGTTATTAATTACTTAACTAAGTATTAACACTTAATACTATGTTCCTTTATAACTGCCTCTAATATAGCCTAGTTATTCTACTAATATATATAAGTTTACTATAGCCTGCCTAACATAATTATATTAGACAGAGGTACGTAGTTTGTCTTAGCCTTTTAGGATAAACTTTGTAAATAGCTTTAAATTATTTTTTATTTATTTATAGCTTTTTACCTAGAGACTAATAGCTAGACTAAGAACATAAACACTATAATAAAATAAGTTCTATAAGTGTACACAAACTACTAGTAGAACAACTAGGTAAAATAGTTAGCTATAGCATAGTTTAAACCTAATAACACAACATTTAAATTAACATAAGTATTCTTATTTTTAGTAAACTATAGATACTACTTTTAAATAAAATTTAAACTACTTTTAAATACCCCCTAACTAACTTATTAATTTATATAAGTAATAAACATAAATAAACTTATTAATAAAATCTAAAATATATTTAAATACATTTATAAAAAGCTTACATAGGCTTAAGCTTTTTAATAAAAGTATGTAAACTAATTCTAAACTCTTACCTCTATGTATGCAGCTAGCAAGAAGGTCTAGCTAGACACTAGAAATATTTAAATAAACTAATAATTAAAAAAACTTAATTAGAAAAACCTTAGCCTTTTTATAGTAGCTTATATAGTCTTATTACATGCTTACTAATTAATCCTACCTAACAGCATAAAGATACACCCTGTGTTCCACGTATTGTTGCTGCGCTAAGCAGCCCCTAAATTTAACTATCTACCTAGACAGCTAAACCTGCTACTTAAACCTATTATTATAAATAATAAACTAGAATATATTATAAAAGATGTTAAATAGATCTAGTTTAATAAGAAAAAATGTATCTATAAATACCTTATAAAATAGACTAGATATAATAAACTGTTATAGAAACTTATAAAAGCTTTATAAAAAAACTCTATAGTAACTTAATTTTACGCCTAATACCTATCTAAACTAAACTTGTACTCTAATAAAAACAACTTAATGCTAGAACTACTAATGTAAAGAATTCCCTTTTTAATAAGAGAAGGGGTACTGTTACAGTATCCTCCCTAGATCCTAGACATAACTGTATTAGACATGTACTAAAGTATTATTAGTGCACATCTAACATAAATATAACATAATATAAACATAAACTTAAGTATAAACTACTTTAACACTAACTAAACTTAAAACAGGCTTAATTTATACCTAAAGCGCTTAGACTTTTAAGCTAAGTATTTAATTACTAATTTTCTTTTAAACTTTTCTATTTCTCACATAATGTCTTGTACCTACTATAATACCTCACGTAGTAATTAAACTAGACCTCTGTGAAGCTCTATAACCTTACTCGTGCACAATTGTGACACTAGGTAAGCTCTGCCTTCTCTTATTAAGCTGCTTTTGTCTTAAGCTCCTGTAGGTAAGCCTTCTTTACTATTACTACTCTATGCTTTTTTCCTTTAACTGCGCGCGCTTTTTTAGCTTTCTTTACTTTTTTACACTTTGCTTTCTTTTATTTTTAAAGCTATAAAGCTTTTTTTTTAGCATTTTTTTATGCCTAATAATTATATGCTTCTTAGACCTTATTTAGGGACTAAAAGGTCGCACTACTATAATATTCTAGAGGTGCTTTAAGTAGGAGAGGCTTGCTACGCTAGCAGCGCTTCTTCTTATTAATTAGCGCATCTTTAACCTACTTAAGCTTACACTAGAGGAGAATGCAACACACTAAGAATAACTAGATGTAACGATTCTACGAATCGTTCCATATCGGGTCGCTCGGATCCTATCCGAAGGGTCCCCGTATCGGCCCCGACCATGACTCGACCCAGTCCCCCGCAGTTACTGTAACGATCCTCATGAATCGTTCCATCTCGAGTCGCCCGGAACCTCCGGAAGGCCCTCGTATCGGCCCCGACCTCGACCTGGCCCCGACCCCTGCTGTTACCCCTATTCCCTCATGTATTTAGTCGCACCTCGCCCCCGTAGCTAGCTCGGTAGTTTTCTGATATCCTACGTACAAGGCCTATAGGTGTCATTGGTATTCCCAGGTCT